CTCTAGATCTCACTACTATTGTGTGTCAGTATATGATTAATTAGTTGGATTTTTTTTTTAATGGTAGTGAAATATTATCTTAGTAATATGGATTCCAGATTTTGCGATAATTTATTCCCACCAAGTTTCTGATCATAGAATGTTGAAGAAATCATACTTGAAATAAAGGTACATATGACTAATTCAAAATAAAGGTACATATGACCAAGTTTCTTATGGCTTGCAATGAGTAATAAATTGCTCACTAATAGTGTAAGATTTAGAAGGCATATGACTAACGGGGATATGTGTGAAATCCGTAACAAAGGCGCGGAAGATATCAACCATGTTCTAAGATGCTGCTCTCTTGCCACCTCCTGCTGGAATCTTATAATACCAGCCCATATTCAAAGTTGCTTTTACAGCTGTCCCTTTGATATTTGGCTAAAAACGAATCTGAAATCCAAAAGCACAAATCCTTTGTGGTGCGTCTTTTTTGGGATCTTATGTTGGAAACTTTGGGAGGCAAGAAACCGTAAGTTATTCTGCAACGAAGATACTCAAGCTCATCGCCTGGTGAATGTAGTGATTGCTCTTAGTGATCATACTGCTAGAGCGAAGGATATCTGTAATGCAATACGTTTAGGCTAGTCCTTTTTTCTTTTGTAATGCCAGCTTGTAATTTCTTGTACATATTTGCTCTTTTATGAAATCCCCATTTCATTCAAAAAAAAAAGGAAAGAAAGAGATGGCTCTAAAATGTCATACATATTATTTTAAGTGTCATATCATATGCTTTAAGTATGAAAATTACTTGTTGCTTTTAGCAGACGGAATTATTCCTCAAACTGGATCAGTGTTGAAGAAGTACTTGTGAGCGCTTTAAATAAAGATAAGGCTGATCTCGACTTCTGATCATAAATATAAGAGTTAGTTTGTACAGAAATCACATCTTACACTACCTCATACAAAGATCCTACATTTAACATCAGAGAAAGTGTCTATTTGCAGGGAAACCACACCACGTTAGTGCAAAAGAGACCTTGCATTTGGCAAATCTAATGCCTCACATTTTCACATTTTGTTTTTACATGTCATGTTTGCCAACACATTTGACAACCTTTTTGATGTGATTCATTTCAGCATATTTTTCCTCCTTGGCGTATTAGCGGCCCATGCTGTGGCCGAAATTGTCTGTTCATGTCATGGTCGGTGTGAATTTACCAATGAATGTTGGGATTAGGTCTTGTCAAAGATATTAATTTCTCATAACATAGCAAATTAAAATTTGAATATCTATTCGAAAAGATGCTCATAAGGCACTGTTGAAATAAAATTATATTTGAGATACTGTTAACACTAAATATAAGTATTTTGTTTTAATGAAAATTGAAATGTTGAGAAAGACTATTTCTTGCTATTAAATACAACCCAGATAGTACAATTGATTTTTTCATTCATTCATTTTGAAAATCACATTAATAAAAAGGAGGCCCATTGCATTTAATGCTATTTAGAGCCTAGAATTGTGGATATTTTACCATACAAAAAGACACCCACATGGCACTCTTGAAATAAAATCATATTTGAGATAATATTAGCACTAAATATAAGTATTTTTTTCAATGACAATTGAGATGTTGATTCGTCACCTTATGAGAGACAATTTCTTTCCATTAAATACAACCGAATTGGTCCAATTAGTTTTTTTTTTCATTCGTTCATTTTGCAAATTACATTAATAAAGAGGAGGCCCATTGCATTTAATACTATTTAGAGTTCTTATAAATTTATTTGATTTTATATTTCATTCTTGTTGTTAAAATTTTTTTACTAAAATCTTCAAAATTTAAATAATTTCAAATTTAATTATTTGACACTATATTTCTTTATTAGTGTATCATATGTATGAATTTATTTTATTTGATTATACGTATTTTATTTTTATATGATATATAATTATTTATATAAATGGAATTTAACAAATACACACAAAATCTAAACAAGTAAAAAATAATTAATCTTTTAATTTCTCTAATATTTTTAGTATTATAAAAAGCACCGTCTATTAAAAAAATGAGAAGGAAAAAAAAAAAGGGAAGAAAAAAAATGAAGCGGTAGATAGACGCCATGTGAATTGAATGCTTGGTGGCAAAGGTAGGGAATGGAGGAGCACCTACCACACAATGAGTTGGCACCGTCCGTCCAGAAACAAGGTGGGCCCTGCCAACTGTTATGACTTCTTTACCCATAATACTTTCCAAAATTTACACTTCAATCCTAACTTGAAAAGTAGCCAGAGGCTTTTAATAGGCTTTCAATTCAGGGTTATTCGGAAGTTTCCAGCTTAACAAGATGGATGGAAACACAAGAGGCCGTTTGGTACTTGAAAACGACGAATAGAGATTAGGATTGATATTGAGAAAAATCATTAAAAAAATATTACTTTTTGTTTTTAATATAAAAACTTATTTGATTTTTATTTTAATTTTAAATATAAAATTCTAATTCACTTTGTCTCTTATATATTTTTTTTCAAGTAATCCTCATAATACTAGTAGTTTTAGCCAGTGCACTTGATTGCAAGGGTATTTTAGGAAAGACAATACCTATTTATTACAAATAACTAACTTAACTAGTTTTCTTAATCTACTCAAATTAGTTAATCAACTTTTATATTAAGAACTAGAAGTGGTATATAATATGAATAATTGCTTGTTACATGGCCTTCTACCTCCATATGTTTAGGCCGTGTTTGGTAACATGGGAAAGTTCTTTTGAAAAGAGCTTTTTTGCAAAATGAAACAAACTGTTTTACATATTTATTTCGTATATTATAATTCTGTAAAAACACTTTTAAAACTATGGTTTGATTTTCATCCGAACATTTATTTAATCTCATATAATAAGCAATTTTTTATACTAAATTTATTTTTTAAAACCCATATAATAGATTTTTTCAATCTCAATACTAATTCTTTTTTTTTTTTTAATTTAAAACTTGGTACCAAGCCGACCTAACTTCCTCTCTGGATTTTTTTTTGGGGGGGGGGGGGACAGAATTACGAAAATACATTGGGTCAGGACCGAAACTCCGTTTGTGTTTGAGAATTGTTAGGGTGGAGCATGAGAATGAGATTTAGATGTTCAAATAACAATCAAGCTTATAAAGTCTAATTCTTATGAGTGAAGGATCTAGATCGATGGGTCTCGTTGCTCCCATATAACTGCTTTTCCTTTGAAAATTATTGATGCGACTGCAAATATTTGTTATTGTCCTTTTCTATAATTGAATTGTTTTGTTTGTTTATTTTTAAATAATGGTCGACGTATTTAAATTTTAAAAAATAAGTTAATTTCGATTTCAGATAATTATTTATATTATATGTGTTAATTTTTTTTTAAGTTATATACTATTATTTATGCCATATGAGGTTTAGGCCTTGTGGAGCTTCAAAATTTATTTAATGATATAAGGAAGCCTAATATATGCACTTTTTTATCTTTGTTTGAACAAAGTTTGTCTACTCATTAAAAAAAAAAAATTAAAACACAACAAATATATGATTTTTCAATCATTACATGTCAACTGTGATTTTTTAACCAAAAAATGCATCTTTTTTTACAAATGATTATTAGGTTGTTCCATTAAATTCTATATTTATCATGTTATTTTAAGAAAATTATAACTTATCACTATTTTAGATAAAATTTTGTGCATGAGTTTATATTAGCTCATAGTAGTAATTTTTTTTTTAATTCTCATTAAATTGTTTGCAATCAATTCTTGTCATTTTTCATTTTTCAAAAGAAGTTTCAAATATATATATATATACACATGCGTACATACGTGTGTATATATAAACAGTATGATATCTATTGAATTTTGAAGCCTAACATCTGAAAATTTTAACTATATCAATGAACTTAAAATTTAACCTAGAATCTTTTTAAAATTAATTTTTTTATCACCTAACTGTACTTAAACTTTCAATTAGTACATTTAGTCCTAAATATAAGATCTAGTTTGTAAAATAATTTGCATTATAAAATTTTAGAAATTTTTTTTAACAATATGTCCAATGATAAAGGATGATAAAAATATATTATGCACTTTTTTTAATTAAATATATTGATATATTAAGACATATAATAAAATTTACAAAAATTTGCAATAGTGATAACTCATAACCAATGGAGTATAATATTAACTATGCTCCCCCAACGGTAAATGAAGGAATTAAGCTGATAGATTTGGCCTTAAATGTAGAAGTTTAATTTTTTTTATTTCTCATATTTATTATTTCTTAAATAATTTATTTAACTTATAAGTTGATATATAATATAATGTTATACGAGATTATTTTAGAGATATTCCATCACACTTTCTATAATTAAATAATTTATCTAATTCCTTTAATATATTTAAGCTAATTAAATAGTTTTTATACTAGAGGGGAAAGAAGTATTACCTCCAGTCCTAATTATAAGACCCAGTTGACTAATTTGAGAAGATTAAGGAAGTAAGTTAAGTTCGTTATTTGTAACAAATAAGTGTTGTCATTCCTAAAATATCCTTGCTAATTAAGTGTGTTGGTTAAAACTATTATTATTAGAAGGACTATCTTGGAAAAAAATGCATAAATATGAGAGACAAAATGAATTGGGGTCTTATAATTAGGACCAAACTAAAAGTCAAACGGGGTCTTATATTAAGAACTGGAGGTAGTAATATTTTTTTGTTATGTCGGAAAAGTTTAAACCTTCAGCCACAAAATTTGAGTGGGGGCAAAGTAATAGATTGCACTGTAGAGCAGGATACAGGAGAGAAATTGCAGTGAGAGCCCTAAGAAGGACTTTGACCAGCTTCCAACTGAAAACTACCTACCACCCATTTTTAACTCCCACGAGAGAGAGAGAGAGAGGTTTCGTTTCGCAATATAACGTCAAAAAAATGCGATACACACAAAGATCGGTTCTTTTTGTCATAATTTAATAATATATTTATTAGATACAACGACTCCGCCCGTCACGTTTCTGCTTCGTCTTCTTCCTCGTTTCTTCCTCACATAACAAGCTACCTCCGAATTTCCCCCAAATTTCTAGGGTTTCTGATTTTTTTTCCTAATCAGAAACCTTAGCTGCCTTCTCCGGTCTCCAGCCTCCTTCCAACTTCTCTTTTTCGTGTTGTTTCAGGTGGGTTTGCCTCTCTTGCTATTCACCGCTCTTCTTCTTAGGATTCTCTGTTTGGGTCGCTGAATGAAGCTACTTACATTATAAAGGATTAAAAAGGGTTAATTGCCGTGTTTTCAATTGGGTATTGGCTGATTATTACGTTGTCTTTGCCTTACCTTTTCAATTTTTTTTGGGGCCCTTGGGGGGGGGGTCTTCCTGCCTCTAGTTTTTATTTTGGTTCATTTTTTCTGAGCTGAGCAAGGCTCGCTATTCCACCTGGAATCAGTAGTAGTCAAATGGATTGGCGCAGTGCTTTTGTTTGACACACGTGAGGGATTAAGAAATGAAATGAGGCCATTAGTAGCTAAGTGATCACTGATGTTGGAGGTTTGAAATTCACAATGCTCTTTGTTGATAAGAGGTTTGCTTCTTCCAGAAAGCACAACATTGGACTCTGTTCAACTCTGGCATTTGCATATTTACAGTTGGAATTGGAAATGTGGCGCCTCTTGTTGGAAATTTGAATGCTGAAGTGTTCAATAAGGCTAGGATTTATAATGACAAAAGTTTGGAAGATTGTTGTGTTTGCTATTACATTGTAAAATCAAAATATAATGTGGAATAATATGGCGTTGAGCTGATTTAAATATCCACATGATATGTTGCTATTGAAAATTTGGTCCTAAAATCTCTCTGAAATGTTGTCCAATTTAGAAACTGCTTTTAACATGTGTTACTACAAACAACAGTTATATTGAATGAATGCTTTTGCACGTTATTAAAAAGTAAAAACTGTTATCATAGGCTAGATAATTTCAGTTGGACTTATGCACACGTTAGACTATAATTACACTCGACCAAGGCTTTGAACTAACCTGTATAGAGGGTGAGATCTGACAAAATAATCATAGAATGAGAGGAGTGTTGCAGTTGTGTCATTCACCAGGTACATTTACAGATAGGTGCAGCTTTCAAGTAGGTAAACTGATAATCATAGAGATATGATTTTGGAATTTTTTTCCATACTGGCTTTTCCGTGTATAGTAGATTTATTTATTTTAATTGATTTAGGATTAGTTTTTGTCATCTTGGTGTTGGTCTACTTGTATTCTTCTTTTATGTTTGTCTATCCAAAAGTGAATCACTTGAATTTTGGTTTAACTGAGGAAAACATGAATATCCTTGATAATGGTTGCAAGCAAAAGTTCATTGTTCACAGTACTCATGTTCTCACATCTTTTTGCCAGTTTCCTTTCATTCATCTGCATCATCATGTCAAGTTTGGAGGAGCCGCTTGGTCTTGACAAATTGCCAAGCATGAGTACCATAGATAGGATACAGAGGTTCTCATCTGGAGCTTGCCGTCCCAGAATAGATAATTTGGGCATGGGAAACTGCTTTATTGAAGGACGAAGTTGCAGTACATCTACCAGCTGCAAGTGAGTTATTATAATTTCTCACAAGTCAGAAACTTGATTGTAATTTGTTGCGAGATTATTAAATCTCTTTTGGTGATTTTTTCCTTTCATACAAACATTTTACATTCTATTTGCTGATGCATGCGTGAAAGAATTTTATGCATGATTTGCCCTTTTCTGCTCAATACATTCATGACATAACCTTATGTCTCTCTGTTTCAGTGAAGATGATGAAGATTATACGGCAGAGACATTTCCATGGAAGAGACATACTAGGGACATGTCCCGAGGGGACTCCTTCTGTCAAAGGGCAATGAGCTCAGGAAGGAACTCAATCAAATTTGGGAAAAATGATGATTCATTTTTCTTTTCAGATAGCCAATATAATCCCAGGTGTATTAATAACAAAGACATACCTGAAATGACATATAAGGTGATCTATGGATGCAGTAATTTCTGTTCAAGTCTCTGGTAGTTAATAAATAAGTTTTTAAATCTGTGGTCTGTGCCTCTTTTTATAACCTTTAAACTTTCTGTTAATTTCATTGGATAATGCAGTTTCTGAAAGGTATACCAAAGTTTGTAAAGATAGTAGAAGTTGGTCCGAGGGATGGATTGCAAAATGAGAAGAATATTGTACCTACGGCTGTAAAGGTTGAATTGATACATAGACTGGCATCTTGTGGGTTGTCTGTTATTGAAGCTACGAGTTTTGTATCTCCCAAATGGGTCCCACAGGTATGACGGCTCAAAATTTTACCTTGTTTAATGCTTCTTGATATTGAAAGTCTTAGGGAGTGATTTTTCTATTAAAATTTATACGAGGTTCATATATGTCTGAGGTTCATACATCCTACATCAGTTCCAAATTGCATGGATGTGTTTATTGCTTAGCTTGGACCCCTTAAATAGTCTTAGGGAAAACTAATCTGACGGTCCTTACAGTATTACCAAATTTTGAATCAGGTCCTTCTAGTTATTGTTCTTTTTATTGAATCCTCATGGTTTACTCAGTTAAAAGTTACAGTCCTTTTGGTTAAATGCTCCAGACTTCTGTTAGAATCATATTGAAGAGGTTGTAGATGTGGATCGGACTCTCTCTCTCTCTCTCCATGCTCGTCTCTTTCATTCTTTTCCATATTTTGCTCCCTTCTTCACGTCAATTGCCTCTGGATTGTTTCCGCATTGGTGTGGGTTTGCTTTTTCTGGAACTCCTCCATTTGCTTCCTACCCTTTCGCATGCTTCTCACCAGCCATTAAAACTCCTCTTTGCTTTATTTTCCCCATATTCTCCATTTTACTCTCTCTTTTGCTCCCTCTGATATAAGCAACTTTCATATTAATATATAATTGCTTGTAACATAACATGTTAGGAATAGATATTTGATATGAAAACCCGCAACTTGATTGCTTTCTCTCCCCCATATTCTCCATTTTACTCTCTCTTTTGCTCCCTCTGATATAGGCGACTTTCTTATTAATATCTAAGTGCTTGTAACATAACATATTAGGAGTACATCATTTGATTTGAAAACCCGAAACTTGAAGGCTGTGAGCATCCAAGGGTGAAAAGCTAGGGAATAAGGCACTACGATACCATATAACATAATTGCTAGTTCTCATTCTCTTAGTTTACTGCACAGATGCTATTAGGAATTGCAAGATGGAGAAGATGATGAAGAAAGATCGCAGACATGGGCTTTTATTCTAGGAAAGAGAGATAGAAGCATGGACAGAGAGATTAGCTTGTATTCCAAGAGAGAGAAAGTTAGTGTGCGGCCTACTCAATATGATCCTAACGGAAATTTGTAGCATTTAACGGAAAGGACTGAAACTTTTAACTGAGTAGACCAAGAGGATTCAATAAAAAGAAAAATAACTAGAAGGACCTGATTCACAACTTGGTAATACTATAAGGATTGTTAGATTGGTTTCCCATAATTTTAATATTACAAAAATGCTTAAATCTGACTTAACATTACGCAAGATGTCTAACAATATGTTGGAACAATAATCTTTTACTTATTTGTCAATGAAAACTTGAATCAAAAGGGAAAATGTGACTTTTTAATAGATAATTGTACTTTGACTTATAGGTTTCTTGTCACTACTTCATTGTGATGTATACAGCTGACTCAATCATAGATGTTAAGAATTCTGTGTCAGCACCTGAGGAGAATTTGCTTGTCAAAAGCATATATTAAACAGAATTGACTACCTAATATTCAAAACGCAGGATCAAATTGTAGCAAGATAGAATTCTGACTTTCTTTTGAAGGAAGAAAGAAGAGAAATAAACAACCTGCCCAACCACACAAAGTTTAAGGAATCTTTTGGATAGATAGAGTACTGTGCATGCTTGAGATATGTCATGCATTGTATACAAGGATAAAATGATTTAAGGATCTTACTCTGTGGTTCTGAGTCACAATAGGATGCTGCTTTTTGATGTTTTGGTACAACTTCAGTCTTTCCTATAATTTTCAGGGATGCCAACAGTTCTGGCCATTATCCTTTCGTATGCATAGGCTATTCTAAATTAGCGGTGTTTTGATTATAAATTTTTTTTCTTAAACAAATTTGGCCTTTTATTTTGGCTCATACCCTCATGGACATCATTTAATTTCTATCTTTCAGTTAGCTGATGCAAAGGACGTAATGCAAGCAGTTCATAAGTTGGAAGGTATCAGATTGCCAGTTTTGACTCCTAATTTAAAGGTACGTACATGTAGAATAACCATGAAGAAGAATATTTATTTGTAGACCTCTGACCTGCTACAATTACAGGGCTTTGAGGCTGCTATAGCAGCTGGTGCTAGAGAAGTAGCTGTTTTTGCATCAGCTTCTGAATCATTTTCAAAATCAAACATCAACTGTAGTATTGAGGAGAGTCTTGTCCGTTATCGTGCTGTTACAAGTGCAGCTAAAGAGCTCTCAATTCCTGTTCGAGGGTATCCCTTCTATTTACTTTTACCACGACTTTAAGATTCTGTTATATCACTGTCTTCTTCTCTGCATATGTATTTAGTTTTGTTGGACAACAATTCTTATTTTCTTTTTATATTTAGATTGATCTTCTCCAGGAAGAGTTGTAGTTGTTACTCCACCATTTTCCTTTTGATTTTGGACAGTGCCTTGGCTTAACTGTATAAAATATCTTAGACTGCTGGGATTTACTCTTGTTTTGGGACATCTAAACTTCTCTGTATTTGCTTTTTGTATGTTTTGACTGAATATGCCTCAATCAGACTATGGCTATATTTTGATGCATTCTTGACTTGCTATCATGGTGGACTAGATCCTTCCTAATATGTTTAAGAGGCAATTAAGTCAAGACCTAATGGTTGAACACGAGATTCTAATCCTAAAATGAATTTTATCAGCATAGAAATTCTATTTCCATTATGCTTATTTCAATTAGTATGTTCTATTTAAATTTTATAGGTATGTATCATGTGTTCTTGGATGTCCAGTGGAAGGACCAATCTCTCCCTCAAAAGTGGCATATGTAGCTAAAGAACTATATGATATGGGTTGCTTTGAGATCTCCCTTGGTGATACAATTGGAGTTGGCACGCCAGGTGGTGATTTTGATAACCTGGTTTTTTTAATTCCAGGCATCCATGCTTGATAGTTGATTCATTAGTAGTGGTGAACTCCTCTCGTTCTTCCAGTAGACTAGGTGTTTTGTCAAATTAAATTTTTCTTTGGGCATGGCCTCAAACGTTTATTAATAATAATATACATGCATCTGCTTTTTAAGTTACGTGTGCTTAGATTCTTCATGCAGATCAATAGGATTCTATGTTTGGTCAAATACCCATTATTCTGCTGATTTTTTTCCCCCCATGATTTTAATAAACATATGGCCAAAGTATGTGCCTATAAAGAAGATTGTTTGATTTCTCCTTTTTGTGCCATCTGCTAATTAATTGGACTCCGATGATAACTCCCTGATGATCTTGTACTTGTATTGTTCTCCATTCACTTTTTTGTGCCCAGGAACTGTGATTCCCATGCTTTTGGCTGTGATGGCTGTCATTCCAATCGAGGCAATTGCTGTCCACTTCCATGACACTTATGGCCAATCCCTTCCAAATATTCTGGCGTCCCTTCAAGTAAGCTATCAAAATATCAAAAATAGCATCTGCCGCTTTTGTTATACTTGTCTTTTAATGTATAGAACTTACTGAGTTCTCCTCTTTCACGTTATACCTTTAAAGTTTTTATTGATGTACCAATCCATGGACATAATCTATAATCCTAGATTTCATCTTAAAATAAAATCTGTATTTTTTTAAATTTCTATGATGATAACATATAACTGTACAAAATAGAGAAGACTATCATATGCCACATGAGTAGAACTGTTAAATATTGGCCTTGCAGGTTTCACTGGCATATGGTGTATGGAGAACGAACCTTACCTACACCATTTGTAACTAGAGCTAGGTTGGCTTTAGTTGTTAATTTAGGTTTAAAGGGTTAGGATGAGTTAATGATGATGGGGAGAAAAGCAGGGTTTGATTTCTTTTCTCCTGCCACTTGCAGAATGATGGGATCAAGCAGGCCCTACATTTCAGTGTTGTTGATACCATTTGCCTCTCTTCCTATGTTGCCTTCTCGTTAAAGGGGTAATTAAAAATCTAAAACAAAGTCCCTAGATGGGAACTCATTGCATTTATCTAAAAAAATCATATTACCTATCACTCTCCTTTTTAAAACATTAAATGTGATATTTCAAACCACACTAATTACAATTATTTAAAATAATTCATAATAACTGATCAATTTTCCATTAATTCTTCCTGCCATTTTACTCATTCATATTAAAAACATTGAATGCGATATGTCAAATTACAAAGGGGAACTGATTACAATAAATTCATGATACCTATCATTTTTCTATTACCTGTCCCGTCCGTTTCTCTTGCTCATTTTTAAATCATCGAATGTGATATCCTGGCAGGAATTAAAAAAGCACAAATAGATTTTTTTCCTTAGGGGAAAAAAAAAAACTAAAACTAAAACCTTGATATGCTGAGTCTTGTCTCCGCAAAGTCTGTTCTTTATCATGGTAATGCAAGTTAATGGGATTCATGTTTTTGTTGACAAAGCAGAATGTGGGACCTCAATTTATGTTTTGGTAGTCTAAGAATCAGTAATGAATTTTGATTTGCATTAAACAGATGGGGATCTGTACAGTGGACTCCTCTGTTGCTGGTCTTGGTGGGTGTCCATATGCTAAGGGAGCTTCAGGAAACGTTGCTACCGAAGATGTTGTGTACATGCTGAATGGGCTGGGAGTGAAAACTAATGTTGATCTTGGAAAGCTCATGTCGGCTGGGGACTTCATCGGCAAGCATCTAGGTCGCCCCTCTGGCTCAAAGACTGCTATTGCCTTGAGCCGAGTCACAGCTGATGCCTCTAAGATATGAGATTATACATTGCTATTGATATCAATATTTATTCATATGCTTCAAGCAATGACAAACATCTCCATCCACGTCATGTTTCTGTTTTTACATACTTGTAGAATGTAACCACAATACCCCCTCGTATTATGAGGTGAGAAGGAATAAGTATATGTATCTAAATATCTACCAATCTTAATGCAAACACCTCATGTTTGCCATTGTTATCACTAGCTTCTCTCCTTAATTCTCCTTTCTTATTCTGTCCAGAGAATTTAGCTCATATTGACTATAGTTCAATTCCCACCCATTTTTTCGGCTGGAAAAAATTGAAGTTTAAGCCATTAAATACATGCTCACACACGCATGCACATGCTGCTGTCCATGTCATGCAAAGGGTCTTTAAAAGTATTCCTTTTTCCCCGTTTTCTTCAATCCAAATATACCTTCAGGTAATCATATTACTTGGAGCCATGAGTTTGAGGTCAAAACCATGTCACCTTCACAAGTGTGGAGTTGTAGAATTGCGGATGCATTTGAGATTCCAATGATGGCAAAGGGAGCCATGACTTTGACCATCACAAAAAGGGAAACTAAAAGGCAAAGAGCAAGGTAAGAAAGTGACCTCCTTTCATCATTTGCACTTGCTTGTGCTCCAATTTATTTCCCAACCTTCATAATAGCCTCATGTCTTCTCTTGTCTCTTTTTGAATGTGGTTGTGGCAGTCAAAGGTGCAAAGCCATTTTAACACCCTGAAATAATCATCACTCAGATCCTTTTCTCAACCTCAACTTTGGGTGTGGTGGGTGTTTGCCATTATGATGGAGTCTTTTCTTTGATAATGTCATCATTAAGTTTTAGGTCTCTTTAATCTGGTATAATTTTTTTATCATCAACTCTCAAGTTTCATTATTTTTAATTCTTGAGTAAAAATACAGTTATTAAAAAAAACTTAGTGTTAAAAATCAGGAACGATGGTTTATGGTAAGAGCCTAGATGTGAGCAGAAGTTTCAAATTCAATTAATTGTATTGAGAAAAGAAGAAAGTTATATAAGGAGCAAACAAGTGCATAATGACTTTTAGGCTTGTTTGTTGGTGAGGACTTCGTAGTGAAAAGGGTTAGCTTTTATTCTTAATTTTTTGTATTGACATGAAAAGGGAAAAGAGAATGTTTCAGTTTGAAGGATCAAAAGGGTATGATTTTATTTAGGCCTTTAATTATGATGATCAATATGGTAGAGGTATTTTCTTTTAAATTAAATTTTGGAGGATATGCTCCCTCTCTAATCTCTAAAATGTTTTTGGCAGGCTTTCAAATATATAACTTTCGTTATGTGAGCCCAAACATATATAATTTTCAAGTATATTTTGTTTATTAAATTTAACAATTTTTTAATTGAAGGAGAAAAATGTAGTGGAGAAAATATAAACATAAATTAATAGATAGTATTTTAAATATAAAAAAAACTAAACCATGGAAAACATTTTTAGTTGAAATTGTCAAAATCACCTTGCTTCCAAATATTGATGGGCATAGTTCTTCTAATTAAGGGGATGAACATACCTATTATAGAAATCATGGCATCTAATTCTAATAAGAGAAACGGGAAAAGGATGCAATCTATAAGGTAGATTTTTCAAAATATTCTGAAGATTTTAAGGCTATAAAATATTTTTTTTTAAAGAAAAAGGTTAAAAAGGTTTCAATGCTTTTTAATCGGACGTGTAAAGCAAATGAAGACAACATCATTCTGTGTAAGAAAAAAGATACACACATTTGTTCATAACCCTTTTGTCAAACTCCCCCACACGTTTGACCAACTTCAATGTTTTCTCAAAATAATTCACTACTGGATTCCACGTAAAAAATAATCATTATTTTGAATAGATTTTAATTCTTTATTTTTTATGGAAAAAAGAAAGTGTTCAATGCCTAAAGTTTTAATCAACTTGGGGTCTAGCACTTTGTGATTTTTATTTCTTGAACTAAGGAATCAGTTCTCAAAATCGTTCACATATAAGAGATATGTTATTGCATGCATATTAATGACACGTAATCTTTATTTTATTTTTTTGCTAGTTAGGTATGTATATCTTTTTATTGAAAATAATCATATTCGAAACACTATAAGACGATAAATGTGCCATTTTTCCCACTGGAAATTTAAGCTTTAGATTATCACATTGTGAAAGACTAACTCCTTCCATTAACTTCAATACCTGTTTGTTACATATTATCTTTAAGATCTCAGTCAAAGTTGACTATAATTCTAAGGGTTAATTATTTAATAAAATTTAATTAAAAAGTTTACAAATTCTCCTATTGAATTTTAAAAATAATACGTACTTACATAGTATAAAATTAATTTGAGTTATAATTTTTTCAGACGACATAATAATTTTTTTTGAAAGATCTATTAATAAGTGTGGTTATAGACCTTATAACAAATTAAACCTAAGTTTATAATATGAATCCCTACATCTACTTTTCTCATTCTTTTGTATCTGTTTAACTAAGCTCCTGGAGTCTAACATGCATTAAGAGAAGAGTTCAATACCAACCATATTCAAAGGGAATTCAAAGACGCTAGTTTGAAAGAGAGGAGTAAATAATAATAGTAAATGGCATATTCACTAGAGAGAGAGAGAGAGAGAGAGAGAGAGGGCAGATTATGACATATTTGATCATCTGACGTGAGGCAGATACACACAAATCTCTCTCTCTCTCTCTCTGTGCAGACAATAAATATATGAATCACAGTGGGCTTCAACAGGAGCAAACGAGAACAAAGTAAAACAAAGAAAGGCCTCTTTCATTTCTTTCTCTAGTCCATATGGTTGTTTCCCATGTAAAAAAGGCTCAGAAAATGGCACTCTTACAGACTCTCTCTCTTTCTCTCTCAGTCTGCACCATATTTATTTGCATTCATGGCACCCTCCCCTATGCACTATATTGACCCCTCTCCTCATTTTCAGAGCTCACTCTCCAAAAACCAAAAAGGGCAGAGATTTAAAAAAAAAAAGGCAGACTCAGATCAGCAGCATCAGGCCATCAGATATTCAGAATTCAGATCCTTTGCATACTGTTGCTTTTATTATCATTTTCTTTTCTCTTCTTTCACCATCTTCCAGGCACCACCTCCTTCTTCTTCTGGGTTTGATTTGCGACACCCTTTTAGATTCAGATCCCAAAAGTTGCTTCCTTTTTTTCATTTCCTTTATGGGGTTTTGAACCAATTGTAAAAGTTATTGTTTCCTATGTGCACTATTTTAAGTTTTTAAGTATATATTATGAAGCTTATAGGTGTGGCTTCTTGTCTCTCTCTCCTTCTGCTTCTGCTTCTGTTTCTGCTCAAAACCTCTCCTGCTTCTTCTGATGGGTCTGCAAAATTTCAGAGCGTTAAATCTGGGTCTATTCCTCTTCAAGCCAAGCCAGGTTTAGCAAACAAGAAGACTCATAAAAGTGATGATGAAGATCATGGCTCAGAAGCTCCCGCTTTTGGTGATGAAAAAAGAAAAATCTACACTGGTCCTAATCCTTTACATAACAGATAAGTAGTGTATGTTTATATGTATAATTCTTCTATTCAGAGCTTGATTTTTCTTCTTTACTTCAAGCTCGCTCTATAGATAATAGATTTTTCTTTTTTCTTTTTTTTCCCTCTCATTTCTTTGTATGTTTCCCCACCCAGAATTTGTGATTATTTTTCTCCCAAAGTATCAGTATGTTTCTGGTGTATTATTATTATTAATATTGTTGTGTATAGGATTATGTTATTTTTCATTCACCACCATATGGCTGATGTCTAGTCCTTTATTTCAATATTATGTATCATTGCATTTTAATTTTTAAAACCTTGAATTCAAAATCTTATTTAAAAAGATGTCAAATTCCTAATTTCCTTCTACTTTTTTTTTTTTTTACCAGCAATAATTTCCTTCTACTTGACTAGACCAGATGGTTGGTTGTGTATAGGATTATTTAACGTTGGAGCTTCATAGTACAATTTTTATTTTAATATAACAACTGCTTTTAAAAATAAAATAAAACAAATGCTTGAGAATGAGGTAATGCCATGCAATTAGGATCACGTTTTGCATATAAATTGTGATGCAGTAAATGGAAATGAAATGGTACAAAAGAGCAGAGTGTTAATTATGAGATGGCTCTGCCATTAATGGAGTTTGGTGGAGTAATGACTATTTGACAGTGTTTGTTATGATTAGGTCATTTGTTTCTTCCTACTTTGATTTCCGTACATTCTTGTAATTTTGGATTTCTGCATAAAGCTGCATCAGATTTTCGCTCTGCTTTTTGGTTCTAATTTTAGTACATACTACAGATTTATGGTCTGCATAATCCTCTCTTGATTTAAAAAAAAAAAAAGATTATAAAAATTTGAATAAATTGAATATATTAGTAACGATTTGGATGGTTCAATCCAGATGAATAGGGGAAAAAAATGACGAATCAGCCTCTCCTCCATTGGCTTAATAATTTAATCAAATTAACCTCAATTAAATAATAGTTGGATGGATAAATATTTGATCAAAGTGATGAAAAAAACTTAATCGAATTAGTTGAAAGTTCATTTACATGCTTTTGTTTTTTAATTTATTCGCATATTATTATTTCAAGGCTTCAAATATTTATATATAACTACTCATTTATCTTGGGCATATCGTTCCTTTAATTCATCTATCCTTACAAAATTATTCTATTATTTAATCTGCAATCATAGACTAATAAATCATAAATGGTTATTAATTTGTTTTGGAGTTTCACTTAAATGTGCAAAACCCACTTTAGTCTAACTCATATATAAGAATTCCCAATTCGGTAACACGTTGATTAAAGATTTAGTTGGCCAAAAAAAAAAAGAGATTAAAGATTAAGAATTGAAATTCTCAATATATATATAAATATAGGGTTAAGATGCAAATTTTTTTCCACAGGTTGCCACTTAAAAGCACTGAGTACCTGAAAGGTTTTTTAGGTTCAACATTATCGTAAAAGTTTAAAATCATAATAATTTTGCTTTCTACTATTAAAAAACTAACGTTGAAAGTTAAAATATTGATATTAACCGTTAGTATTTTTAACAATAAAAAATAAAATTGTCATGATTTTAAACTTTGGGGATAATATTGAACTCAAAAAAAATTTCAGTTTTCGTGCTATCAAGTGGAAATTTTCAGGATAAATTTGCAACTTAACCTTCTATATCTATATATATAGATAGATATATAAAACCGAAAAAAGTCAATAAATCCTCACTGATTCAAGAGAAGATCCATGGCGTACTGGCTCTCAAGTTTGATCAATTCAGAGAGTTAGCAAAAGGCATTGTAATATGCGTGGTTCAACTTGGAAAAACACTAGGTTGAAAGCTCTGCTTATTCGCAAATGGTCTCTTGAATGTTCAAGATTAAAAAAAATTCAGTTTTTAGACTTGCAAACTCCAATGAATAGAATAAAATTTGTTCATGTGAGGAAGAAGGCATGTGCAATGGCGGGGCCCCTCTGTTAGTACAAGTTCTATTCTCTCTCTATAATCACTCAGTAATTTAAGAATTGATTGAATCTATACACTAAAATAAAACATGAAAAGGCTCAATTCATCACATTGATATGATCGCTTGCAGTTTCAATTCTAACGAGAGGGTCGTAGAATTGAAAACGCATACTGAAATCTGGTTCTATTGTTCCTCATAAGAAACCTATTTCTTTTGCTCATCGTATTAACTTTGTCTTGCACTGCCAATACCATTAACAACAAACACTGAAGCCCCAAACATTCAAAATATATACAATTTATTAATCATGAAAGAAAATGGCGTATACCCGTTTTATTATGAGATAAAACTCAAAAATATGATACAAAGTTTTTTTATAACTTATAAGGCTAATCTTAGAAAAAAAAAAAAAAAAAAGTGAAATTCAGACAAGGGCCCTCAACATTTCTTCTCTTTGTTTTTATAACTTATAGTGCGTCTATTTCTTCTCATCCTTCTTAGGGATGATGAAGTTATCAAATGCAAACGAAAGTTTTGGTGACCCAAAAACACAGCTGATCAGGATCTCGTTGTTTTGACTCATCTGCTAGATTCTTCAATGTAAGCTAAATGTTTCCCAGAAAGGAGCTTAATTAGGGGATTCTCTACAACATCACCAGGTTGACTCTTATTCCGCCGAACAGTAGTCTTCTCAGAACTAGTGACGACCACCACTTCCTCCTTGCGAGTGGAGAGTTCGTTTGCAACAACAGCATGCATCTTGTACTTTTCAAGAGCCTTATCAGCCTTCTTCAGAAGAATGTTTGTATCTGTCTCTAACTGTCAGCAATGAAAAACAATAAATCTTAGATAAAAGAATATTAGTATCATGGTATGTCATTTTCTTTTCAATGCTTTTTAGGGTTGCCAGAAAACAGGAGATCCTTGGAAAACAATATAGTTTGAATCTGAACATTTTCATTTACATATTCCAACTGTTCTTTATAAAGAAGATTAAAAAAAGAATGCAAATTTTTATTGAATTCCTTATCGGGCAACATAGGCACAGAATTTTTGGAAAACAATATCATTGACGATGTCACATGAAAAATAACATAACATCACATGGAAAGGTATACGAAACTGAGCTCAGCTTCAAACTTTGAGCAAAACTCGAGACATCTTTTTTCATGATAGTGACTGGTAACTACAAGTTAATCATGCATTTAATATAGCAATATAGGCCAATGAAAAAGTTTTTCCCACAAGCATATAATGGCCAAACAGGTGGGTGATCAAAACTAACCATGCTATAACGTCAAAGATAGCAACATTCAACTGGCTGCTGTGGTGGGGACAGGCTTTTGTACCTTGAAAGATATGCAGAAGGCAGATGGAGCCCAATCTTCCCTTAGCACCGACAACATTTTTGGCACTTGAACGAGTTTCACGTCCAAAATGTGAGATCCTGACTGAATTTTGTGCTCCACCTACAAGATTAAAACAAGTTGACATCATCAATAGCTAGTAAATCTAATATATGTATCTTACCAAAAAAGAAAAACCTGACATATATATATATATGTCAAAATTGCAAATTTCTAGCTTTATGGTACACCTTTTAAAGTAATAACCAACCATACTAATCTGATTAGGTTTTTCCCCAGGCATCCTCATCTTGAGGTCTATATTTTATAGAATTTGTCGTCCGTTATGTTCAAAATCTGTTATCCAAGACAAAATTTCATCTTTGATTAATATTGCAGTTCCAAAATTTCTTCAACTATAAGAAATTATATCATTTAGAACAATATTTAAGTGTAAAAACTAAAAACTGCATTGGTAACAATCTAGTAATTAACATATATCTACACTTTTGAATAACGGGATCCAGAGATAAAGAACAAGACAACAATATTGAAGAACTAATTTTCAAATTATTACCATGTCCTTCCAAGGAACGTAAAAATCAGATACTGCAGCTGAAAGATAGAACATTGCACGTGGCCCAAGGCACCTCATTGACACTGCAGTCATTTGCAGCATCTGCACTAACAAAAAAATTACATGGCTATTTTGCACAACAAAACTACTGATTTGGCACTTAAGTTAAAAATCATCACAAGTAAAGAAGTGGCAAAATCTTAAAATATGAGTATATATGACTAAATTATGGAGGTGAAAGACGCATAAGTCCACCTCCAAAGTTGACTGTCAGTTAATATCCAGGCAGACAAAGCAGCAGAGGATATACAATAATCTAGATTGATTTGTTTGCAGCATGAAATAAACAGATAAAAACATAAACAAGGCTTACCTGAAGATACTCAAATATTGTACTGTATGGAAGTTTTAATAGGAGACCGTCTGCTACTGCCTGCAGAAGAATGGAAAACATATTTAGCTCTAATCGTACCCAGCTAATCTAAACATGAACTGCTAGTGAAAAGAAGGGGGGGAAAAACAACACTTAAAAATAAGAATAGTATGAAAAATCAAAGCTATGGTTCATACAGCATGATGATCAATGATAGCCCTCTTCACTGCTTCAGCATGAGCCTCGCGAACTGAATTATAGAAAAAAAATTCAGCCACTTTCATATAAAAGTTAAAAACCAAGATGAGGCAGGCAAAATTCACTTTAGCCGATAGGTTTTCCAATTAGCCTTCTTCATGGGACAAGAATAAGCTAATAATATGACATGACCGAACCTCCTACTGCTGCTAGAACATAAAGAGAGGGACATCAGGGAGTGGTAAAAAGGCAGACATTGAGGATCCATTGGCTCAAAGGAAAACATAATGGGTAGAAGTCGGATAAAGCTGAAAATAGAGGAGCTAAATAAGGAAGTCATGATGAATGGATGGTTGTCAGTGGGATATGTAAAACAGGAGAGCAGAGAAGAACTGGTTAGTGTGGCTTTAGCCCTGGGTGGAGAGTGCCAACCTCTTGAAAGTTTGGCAAATCTATTGTGTTTTGTGATTCCGTTTTTTCTGTTGAGTTTGTGGCAGCTGGTGTGTGCTTTGCATCTTTTACTCCTTGTTATCTTGTGTTAGTTTGTCTGTAATTTTTTTATCCGGGTGTAAAAGGCTCATGTGTTTGGCTTGAGTTCCCTTTTAATCTGTTTTAGTTCTTCAGGAAAAAGAATAATTCATTCCAAGTTATTTAAATTCGTTCTTGTCTATTTTGCGCTTTTGTCTGTCATTAACTTAATTCAAGTTGAGGGTTCTATCATAACATAACATTTTTTATATTATATAGATATAATGCTGTAAAGCGAGAATTATTTAAATAAAGTCGGGTCATTAGATATCTGGCATCATTGTTTTCAAACAATCAAATCATGCATATTCAAATACTTCAACAAAATCATGTCATAATGATAAAGATAGGATTGTTGGGTTATTGATCCTGCTTTGGGTAAGGAAATAAACTGATTACTTTCTGTGTCACACGCACAGTCTCACGAAGTATTCAGCAGAAACTATAAACCTCGAATATTGCAATCACTGGTAGCCTCAAAGCATTCAAGTAAAGGATCATCAGGCAGGGATCTGCAAAACGGCTGGAAACTTCCCCTGCAAATATATACATGCGCAATGAACTAAATCAAAAGAAACCAAACCAGAGATAGAAATACTCTACAACTCATCATAAAAGAAAGCACCACAACTGGAACAGAAAAATAGAAATTCACCTTCGATAAAGAAAGATGACAGCATATCCAGCCTGCAGAAAATACCTAAAACGAAACCAGCAAGATCATCATCTTTTTAAGAAAACTCTGATAAGAAGTTGACATCAATTCTTTAATAACTCAAAGGAGATTCAACATACTCTGTAGATGTGGCTCCTCTATGACCTGAACTGAAATTGTCAACATATCGAACACACCGTTGCTCTAATGGAGCAGTGGTGCCGCCAGATGTCACACAAACTACTCTTCTGGCATTCCCATCTGAACCAGAATTTTCACTTAGAAGTAATGTAATCATTGCAAAATGCATAATTAATTGTTGTGAGAATGAACCTACCAGAAGGCAAAGAGTTGCGTGCAATAAATTCGTTCAATTTTTCACTTATTTCATTACTGTTTTGCAAAGGAGGAGCTGAATCAAAAAATGCTTTCACTTCCTGTTCAAAAGTTAGCTGCGGAGTTTGCAATCCCTTGACTGAATCCATGAATTGCCTGCAGCCATATCCTTTGTCAGACATTCATAACTTGACTGCAAGCTCATGAACCAAAATAAGACTTGAAAATTAATGTCAATAAATTAGGGAGAAAAACGAAAATCAGCATCCCATACAAAAAGGCCCTCACAAACTACCACCTAATAATTCCACCGCAATATCCCAATGAAGCAAACCAATATTCAAAATCAGTAAGGCAATAGCAAGATAACCCAAATTTGAACGGAAAATTCAGATGACAATAGATTGCGAGGTGAAGCATCTAAAAGGGGGCGAATGCACCCAATCATAAGTGATCAAATGCGCAGCAAATTCAAACATTCGAATTCAAAGCAAGATTCGTTTTCTTCCTTAACTTTATTTTGAGGAAACTGAAGACATAAACAGAAGAAAAGGGCAGATTCGGAGAGCTCACCACCAAAGAAGCGCAGTAGTCTGGCGTGATGCGACGGGAGAGGAGAAGGGGGAAGAAGTGAGGATACTGACGGTTTATGCGATACATGTTTTAGGTGGAAGGTGGCAAACGGTAGTTGGAAATTGGAATACAGATTTTTTTTTTTTTCCAAGGTGGGAAACGGGAGTTGGAATTTGGAAACATTTTCCTACACATATATAATTATTATTATTTTTTTTTACCGAAGGGGACCTGAATTAATTACCAACCTAGATTATTAACATTTATGATCACAATATCCTTATTTTTTTTGCAGTTTTAAGGTTAAAAACCAAAAATATATTTTTTAAAATTAAATAATCAAATTGAAATTTTGTGTAAAATTAAAGAGTTAAAAATATATTTTAATTACATTAACAATGTTGGTATTATGATCATAAAGCACGTCATCAACAATTATTTTAAAAGTAAAATATTCTAATTATTCTTTTACTTTGTATCAATAAAATATAGAATTTAGTCCAATTAGTTAACATCGTTGGGAATATTCTAAAGATATTCTAAAAATATTATTTTTAACTGAAATTTATATTAAAATAAATTTTATTTTCTATTTTATCCTATTCTAATAAATTCCTAATTCTACTTTTGCAGTTACACGAATTTTATTTAGTTAAGGCATACATAAAAAAACTTAATTAAAAATTTAAATAATTTTACAATAAATATATATACACACACTTAACTAAATATATTTATAAATTTTTACAATAAAGATGTGTTTAAAAGTTTTGAATTATAAATTTAAATAATTTATAAAATATTTTAAATTTATATCATTTAAATTTTTATAATTTAAAAGAAATCAAAATAAATAATTTCCAATAAATATGATAAAATATTAAAATTATAAAATTTTATGATTTGGATTGAAATTTATAAATTTTATAACATATTAGAAATTTTAAAAATATATGTATTAGAGTTAGTTTTTGGATTTTATACAAATATTTTTTTGGAAAATATAAAAGTCTAAATAATTATTAAGTTAAAAAGGTGTATTTTGGTTAAAAAAAATAATTTAAAGTCAAATTTAACATTCAACTAATAATTTTGGTGGATGAAAATGGAATTTTAAATATAAGAAAGAGGTTTGTGTAACATACGTTTTAATTTTAAAGGAGATTTATGTATATTTTCAAAATAAATGGAAGGTTTTATAATTGAGAGTTAAAAAAAAAAAAGAGTGATCAGTGTATTTTACTTAAATTAATGTTACTATATATAAAAGTCCAAGAATATGGGAATGTTTTGTTTGATTATTAACTTCGTTATAATATTTTAATCAAACACGGGTTAATGATGTCGTTCCACGCAATACTTAAAAGAAAAATATTATACTCCTTCGGCCCTAATATAAATTACACTATAAAATAGATATTATATTTAAGATCGGAGGAGTACTTTCTAATTTTGAAACAACATAAAGTATTCGCTCACGAAATCATTTCAAAATTACAGCATTATGAAGTAAATTTTGTTTAATACTTGAGAAACTTAAAATTAAAATATACTCTTAAAATCAGAACTATTTTCAATACTTAAAGAAGAATTATTGCCATGTTTCCTGATTAGGTCAAATTGTGGAAACTATGACAAAGCCTCCTCCCCATTTGCGAGCCCGAGCACAAATACAAAGACCGTCAAGAATATCAGAGGCCATGTGTTCTGTTACTTCAGTTGTAACTAGGCCTACGTAAATATATTATACAAACTCACTTGAGGGATATAATTCATTCTTTCTCATAACCAAGAGGGATACATCTAATAAAAAAGACTAGTCTCTCAAAATGTGTTAAACTAATATTCAAATCCCATTGAGAGATATTCACATTTAATGCTTGATAATATTTTGAATATAATTATCTCTAATAAAATAATAAATATGCCTAGCAAAAAAATAATTCACTCTCTTTTTTTCATCTTTACTCTCTTTATCTGCTTCTTTCAATGTAACTAAAAACTTGGGAGAACCATTTTATAAGTGCATATACTTTTCCTCAATTTTTAATTTGATACTTTTTTTCACTTTATTAAATCTTTAAATTTTCCTCCATCAGTATTGTTAGCTTTAGCCTTATAACTTTGCTCTGTTAGGCTAACAAAGCCAATAGAGCAAGGTTAAAAAATTTAGGTATTAAATTGAAAACTTTATACACTTCCATTTGAACAGGGGCTTTTATTAGATTTAGATGGGAATCCATGGCATTAGGTTTTTGGAATACATGACAGGATCATTGAAACTAAATGACTTGCAATACAAAAAGTAAAATTGAACATCTTTACGAGCAATTAAATTATTAGTGCATCATAAAATGTTGCAAACTCAGGAACTTCTATGTAGAGGAAACAAGGCTCCAAAAAAACCAGTTACCTGGATCTAAAACGTGAAATTTGTGTCAGGGGAATGTGCTTAAAAAGTAACATATGATCACAGGCAAAACACCTCAGTTAACTATAGCTCACTCCATTGCCCCTTACAACCTCACCAATTTTGTAGACTTTGTCCAGTTCGTCCCTATTCTCAAGTATTTTAATTGATGCTTCAGGGCTCACTACAAGTACCATCCCTATGCCCATATTGAATGTTCGCCTCATCTCGCTGTCTTCTATATTTCCAGCCTAATGACGTAAGAAATCATCAATATATAAATATATATATATTATCTCCAAATCATTTTCAATGGAAATATAATGGCAGCAGTTTTACCTCCTGAAGCCATTTGAACACAGGAGGAACTTCCCATGAGTCCTTGTATATATTGGCGCCAAGGCCTTCAGGAAACACTCTGGGTATGTTATCTGTAAAACCACCACCAGTGATGTGAGCAATTCCCTTAACCCCTCCCTTGCTAATTAAGTCAAGAACCTGAAATTAAGAAAGAACACTCGTCTTGTCAGTAAAAATATCTTCAGGAACTTGAAAAATAAATCAAGCATAACCACAGGCCACAAAGACAAATGACCTTTTTAACATAAATAACAGTCGGGGCCATCAGAGCTTCTGCTATTGAAACATCCCCACCAGGAAGTTGATCTTGCAATGAAAGACCGCTTTGAGCAAGCACTCTGTAAAGATATGTATTATTAATATGAGTCAAGAATAAAACAACTAGCAAAAACAAATTTGCAAAATCTAACGGATTCTTCACCCAAATCTAACCTTCGTACAAGAGAGAAGCCATTAGAATGAACTCCACTAGATGGGAGACCAATAAGAATATCACCAGCAACTATGTTCTTCCCATTGATGACGGAGTCCTTCTTTACGATGCCAACTGCACAGCCACTAAGATCGTACTCACCTTTTTTATAGAGACCAGGCATCTCTGCAGTCTGAAAAGATATAAAATCAACTTTTTCGCCTCAGTAGAAGGGTTAAAAATCTTAGCATATATAATGTCAGATACAAGAGTGAGTTGGTGAGCATATGAAAGACTCAGAACTACATCTAATCCCAGAACTTGTGATTGCTCATCTTTTAGACACATAATGGGGACTTATACTCTGCCCCGGGGGGGGGGGGGGGGGAGATTAACAATAAATGCTTTAGTTATCTGGTGAGACCTAAATTTCTCTTCATCAGATGATGGCTTTAGAAGATGAATGTACAATAAATTAAACGCCCGCTACAAATAATAAAGAATAAAAATTTTCCATACCTCTCCTCCTAAGAGCACACAATCAGATTGCTGGCAACCATCAACGATTCCTTTTATAACCTGCATTATACAAAATCAGTCATTAATATGATAAACTTCTATTCAGTTGATAAATCAATCATTAGTCGCTGTTGCTTGCACATGAAGAAACTTTATGGCTAATTTCATGAGACTTGACTCTATGCACATTGATTACTACCTTTTCAGCAACATCAACATCAAGGTGGCCTGTGGCAAAGTAATCAAGGAAAAATAGTGGCTTTGCCCCAGAAGTAACAATATCATTGACGCTCATTGCGACCTAAAGTAAAGAGCATAGTCAAAAGATGAGTATTTAACCAATAAATGATAACTTTTTATTGTGGGGAAAAAAAATCCAGTGGCCAACCAAATCAATCCCAATAGTCTCATGGATTCCAGTTTCAAAAGCCAGCATCACTTTAGTACCCACACCATCAGTGCCAGCAACAAGATATGAATCACCTATCCAGAAGAAGTTGGTTAGTCTTATTTTATCGAAAGCTATTAGAAGAATTAATCCATGGTTGAAAAAGAAAAATACCAAGAGGGAAAAGACCACCAAAGCCTCCTATTCCAGGTGCCATTTTTGCTATCCTTCGTACAAGTTCTGAGCCAGCATCAATATCAACACCAGCATCCTTGTAGGTAAGACCTTGGTTGTTGTTTGAAGCACCCGCTATGACACCATCCCTCGACATAGGTTTTACGGTGTTGCACCAAGCAATTGATCCAATTCTCAATTCTTCAACTGCTCCACATGCGGATGCAAATCTGCCAACATTGCAGCTGCTTGTGCAATGACAGCTCTCACTGTACTTGTTAGACCTTGGTCTGATGGAAACACCAGGAACGCAACGCGATAGCTCAGCACAAGCTCCGATACTCATAGCTGTTATAAGAAATTTCTGTGGTTATTACAAATAGCATAAGAAAAGGTAAGGAAAAGACGAAGGGGATTACTGACGGAAGGAAAGTAAAATTTTTAAAGGGAAAAAATTCACTGCAAACTGATAAATGGAGAAAGACGAAAGTGAAAGAGAAAGCATAAGAGTAGAGACAAACAGTATGAAAAAAACATCGCATTGTATTTGGTTGTTGCCAAAGTAAAACTGTATAGAAGCTATCAGGATTGAAGTACAATAACCAGTGTAAATGGTGAAAGAGACTGAAGGATTCAAAAACCTAAACCAGTAGAGGAAAGGGACAGTCAAGATGGCAAACAGACACGGTTGCTTCTTGTTCAAATTCTGTACTTAATTTGCTTACATACACTCTTCCAAAATCTGTATTTAATTTGCTGTTCAAATTCAATTCCTTCAGGGGAAGGTAAGATAGAAAATTGTTAACTTATCCTCCACCCCTCTAATATAATGAGATCACCCAAATCTTCAACCTCCACTCATCCAATTGTAGATGTTTTTGACATAGAAACACTAAAGCCCAACTGAACCAAAACTAGCATCAGATCTCTAGAAACTAAATCATGTGCTAAGTGAACATATTCACAATCATCAATATTTAACTTACCAGACTTATCCAAGTCAAGAAGATTATAACTTTCTAGTTTCTACACCATATGATCTTCTATCATCTAGAACGTATAATAAAATGCCAATGACGTTAATATAAAATTTCTCACTCTCCCATCTCTAATTGAACTCCACGAGTTTATTCATCACTTCACAGAAAATAATTCCCCAACATACATCCCCCCCCCCCCAAAAAAAAAATTGTCACATACCATCATTCATTTTTGACAGTAACATAAACTTGGTACTTGTCAGGGGTTGAAGGAAAAAGAAACCAAATGAATAAGATCCTCTATAATGTTGATTCATAGTAAGTAAGATAAAATATATCTATATATATCCATCAAATTTTTCATAAGCGCGCGTTTGTGCAAGTTTCAGAAAGCACATACTGATTCCCCCTCTCCCACCTCTCTTCTTTCTCGTTCTCTTACTAAGTCTGCTTATACAGATAGTTTCTAATCATCCAAGGCAACAATAACTCTAATTCCCGCCATGAAAGAAAAACACTTACCAAAAGTGTTCTTCACTGTTCAGCTCTTCAACACAAGTCAAAGTGCGACTGCGACAGTGACGAGCTCGAAGGACAGACCGAAGGGAACAAAAATGGAGGCCGAATTCGAGCTCCAACACCAAGTGCGACTGCCACGCCGACGAGCTCCAATAACGGAACAAAGGCGGAATTAGGAGGCCGGGTTGTCGGGTTTACGGTTCAGCCCCGCTTGTTGCTGGAAGAATAGGTGGGCTTGGGGAATACAAAGCAATGCATCAACCGTGCGTGATTTATAAGCTAAAATTTTGGCCAAAAAAAGATATAAGCTAAAATGTATCAACCATAAAAATTAGAATTATTTAAAGGGATCAAAATTTAAGCTTTTGATTCTAAAAGATCGAATTATCCCTATTTCCGTGATTTGTCCTCCCTTAATACAGTAGTAGTTGTTGCTTTCCGTTGGGGGAAAAAAAGTACTCCTCCAATCCTAAATATAAGATTATTTTTGCAGTGTAAACTTACACTGCAAAAATAGTCTTATATATAAAACTGGAGGAGCAGTTGTTGCTTTCCTTCTCTATTATTTATGTTGTTAGGTATTTATTTCAAAATAAAGGAATTACATTTTTCCACTTACACTGCAAAAAGGGTCTTATATTTAGAACCGGAGGAGTGGTTGTTGCTTTCCTTCTCTATTATTTATGTTGTTAGGTATTTATTTCAAAATAAAGGAATTACATTTTTCCCATGAGTTTCTAAGCTACATATGTACAAGTCTTTTTGTTATTCTATGCTCAGAATTCGCAATTGTTAATAACATTATTTCAAGAAGATCAAGTTTACTTGTGACAAATGATAACATTCAAAACCATTGTTACTCACAGTCCAAGGTCCTGCATTCAATGGTTTTTTAATTTTATGTAGAGCGGGATGCGACGGTTGATGAAAAAGAAAAATAATTAAAATTTCACCCAAAAAAAAAAAACCTGAAATGCAGTAAGAGGGAGAATTTAAGAGGTTAAAAAACTTGAGATGTGGTAAAAGGGAGAATATAAGAGGTCTAGTTGTTATGGGCAATTTAGTCTTTTTAAAACTATATTTTAATTTTTGGTTTTTAATATAATTATGATTTTTAAGATCCTCTTAAATAAATATTATTTTTTCTCGGTTCTTGGTTCCAATTCTCCCTATAAACAATAGAGAGGAAAAAACAATAAAATATCCTAAAAATTACTAAAAAAATAACTTAATTCATACTATCCAAATTAAATATATATTAGAGAAATATATATTTTGTTATATCTGAAATTAATTCTGAATTTAAAATTCAGATTCATAATCTTGACTAATTAAATATTCAAATTTAAATTCAAACTAATACAATACAGTAGATATTTTGCCTTCACAAAATTTTAGTTTTCCAACCATCTCTTCTTTCTCTTTTACATTTTTTTTTTATGTGGTACTCTGCTATGCCATTGAAGTTTAGTCTCTAATAATATGAAGTCTTCGGAAAAAAAATCCAGACCCAATATGGTTTCTTTCTTTTATGTTTGGATGATCTGTAATATTTCTAACATATAGAAATGTCCATAATCTTTAGAAAAACTTTAAGCGTCCTTTAAAAACACAGTAGGATGCGACCCTCGCAAGAAAGTAACCTATATTTTCATCTCTCTCCCTTTTTTAGCAAATGCTTCTCCTTTCTCTTTTTTACAAGAAATAACCATCACAATCAAGCGAATCGATTCAAAGTATTAGTTAAATTTAATTAATAATAATAAATATGTAATATATATTTAATTATACTCTTATCTATAAAGAAAGTATATGAAGGATAATAAATAAAAATTTACAGCTAAAAAATAATAAGTTGCATGTATTTAATCAGGTAAAAATGAAAAAACTGGTTTATAAATCCCAGTCCTCTCCCACATAATTAATTAATCAGTGATAAATAATTGTGATTAATTATTCATATAAAGACAGAATTATGGTCATGCTTCGCAACAAAACGTCCTTGATTGACTGGATTAATTAATTAGGATATAAACAAATAATTAACGTGCTTTACAATATATAAACTGCTTCATTTAATAATGCCCAGAATTGTTGGGAGACAAAGTTAAAGAGTTTTGTTTTTTTAATTCAAAGTTGTTTTCTTTTTCCAAACCTGATATTCAATTGTGGCATTTGGGTAAATGCATTTTCACATGTTAGGGTAATTTAATTTTAACATCAATCACTTATCTTTGAGCGGGTGGGAAAAAATGGGTTAACCAGTTAATATACATAATAATTATGACTTAAACAAATGTACTGTAGAAATTTTATCATTAAATCTTTAGCTATATATGTGAAAATCCTAAAGATGTATCTCGAAAAAATAATTTAGGGTGTTAGGTGCATATTAATTCTAAAGGTTTTTAAGACATTATTTATATGGTTTATGATAAAACTTAATTTGAATTTAAGAAAACAAAATGAGCAATTAAATGAATCCATTATAATATAGTATGCGACACACGTAGCTTCGGTTGAACTTTGAAGACTAATTTGGAGTATGACAAGAAATCTCATGATATAAACAATACAAGTCTCTCCCTTATTTCAGGGAACAGATTTCTTAATTTCAGCAATCTTTCATTGCCACTTACTTTACAAATTAAAAATCTTCCATCAATCTCCTCATGTTCTTGCCTTCTTCATAGTTCATAAATCTCTGTCCCATCCCAAATGGAATTCTCTTTCTCAGATAAATTTTCCTTGTTGAGTGCAGGAGCTAACAGCAACCAAGAAGACACCATGTTTTTCTACAGCGTGCCAACTAGTCCTAGCTTCAAACTCAAGACAAGATCACTTTATGGTTCTGATCTTGGTGAAGATAAATTTGAATTCGAAACTAGTTGTCGCTTTCTTGATCCTCGTGATTTCGAAACTAATCAAAGGAAAGAAGATGAAGAAGAAGAGGAAGAAAGGAAAAGTGGGACTTCATTGCCTACCATGGCATTTGCTGATGAACTTTTTTCTGATGGTAAGGTCTTGCCACTGCCTCTTAAGCTTCCTCCAAGGCTTCAAAATGGAAGTGGTAGGAAAACAAGCACACCGAGCTCGATGGCGTCTTTGTCACCAAGGTCACTGGGGGCATCGGTGAGGCGAACATTTTCAGGGCAAAGTTTGTGGAATGATGATTTTGATCCATTCATGATGGCTTTAAAGGTGGTGAGGGAAGAAGAGAAGAGAGGGAACCCAAAGGCTGGAGATGGTATTAGAAGGACTAAGTCAGAATTACTATTCAGAAGCAAAGGCCCAAATTGTGGCCCATGTGAGCTGGTATGTGGAGGCCCAAATGAGCCATTGATGTCAGGATCAAGAAGACACAAAATGGTGTTAAGTGATCCCAAAGGATTGGAGTTTGCAAGGAAAGCCAGACTAATTGGGTTGGACAATAATGGGCCTTATGGGCTTAATGGGCCCAACAGAAGCAAAGGAGAGACTGAAAGTGGTGGGGCTTGGAAAAAAAAAGAGAGAGAAGATAATGAAGTTTCTATATGGGAAAGTAAGTGGTCATTACAAGTTGAGAGACCAAAAGGATGAAACAGTTAGTGACGTAAAGAAAATGACAATGACATTTTACAAGCCTAGGCTTCTTCTTTGTTTGGGTTACGGAGGAAGGTATGTTAAGTGATTCAGAAACACAACATTATTGGGAAATGGAGGAATTGGTTCAATTATGCAAATTGTAGATAGATTCTTTGGTGTTACTATAGGATTACTAATTGGGAAAAGGTTTTGTTGGACAATATTCTTTTACAGAATGAATTAAAGATAATTTTGTAAATTCTACTTTTGAAAAATGAGTTTATCATTTAAATATTCAAAATTAGAATCTTTAAATATAATCTGTCTAAGTTAAATGTTGGCAGTGTAAGTCTCATTTCAGCTATGAGTATATATGTTCCTTTTGGTTGATTTCATTTTTGTATAAATTATGACATAGTTTTTCTTGTTTTTGTTTGAACAACAGTTATAACAGAGGCTTAATTGGTATGAAACAATTTTCTTTCAATGCAATTCTTGAATTTTGGATTTTCCATTGTAGTTATTTAAAATGATATCCATCACCTGCACATTATTCCTATTGATGGAATTGAGGTTGTTAATGCATGTAATGGCATGGTTTAACCATTGCAAAAGGATGATGTGACACTTAACCTATATGATTCTTTTAATATTTTTATACAAAACATCCAACTTACTGAGTCCAAAACTCCTAGGTATATAGAAAATTTTCAATATATGCTAGCTTATCAATGTTTATCAACTCGTCAACCTAAGGTCATGACAGAAGTCATTTCAGTTAAACGTGAATAATAGAATTTAAATTAAGAACAAACATCTTGATCAAATCGTTATGCAAATAACATAGAATCCTGCAATGTAATCTTCATGGATGAAGAAGCACTAGATGCTTACATCTTCAGCTTTATTGCAGATCACAGAGGATATACGCTTACAAGTATTATTTATAGTCTTAAACAAAGTTTAATTGCTGGTGAGACACAGAAAGCATTCTATAAGCATATCGCTAATGATTCATTTTCACATAATTATTGTTAGACGGAACTATCTTGGAGCTCAGTGTAATCTCTCAGAGGTGCAAACTTGAGATCAGAAGCTAGATTCTATGTATATAGTGGAATGAATGTTTCTACATCATTTAAAGCATCAATGAAAGTAATCTACATTGATTGGAAATCATATGAATATATTCTCCCCATGAAAAAATTGACCAGAATAATACAAGGGGGGGGGGTTGTCAAAGAAGAAAACTGCATGCTCTCCATTGTGCGTTTTGCAGAATGAGAGAAAGCTGCTCACTTCGTGTTCTACCACCGCGTTGCTTCAGAACACGAGTAAGTTTCTAGCTTGAATCTAAGTTAACAGTGAAAAAAAACCGATCTGATGCAGTTTCTACTAGTCCAAGACTTGAGTAGGCCAAAGGCGTTTCCAGGTGGCAATCTCAGTCTCACTGTAAATCTTTCTGATTCCTCCATAGAATCCATCAGCCTCATTTCCCTCCTCCCTATGGTTCTTCCTACTGATGTTTGTTTGTCTCCATCGCGAGCCAGGCATGTACTGGTTGAACTCTAGCACAACCATGTCTGCAGCAAATTCAATCAGCATTAATCACGTTATGTTTCAAATCCTCAGAAATCCTTATCAGTGATAAAGTTATAACAACTACCAGGCCTAAGTCATGACTCATGCACAAGTGAAAAATGATAGCTATCTCCTATTTCCAGCATTTTTTTCAATGAAATTGTTTCATTTGATGAGATGCTCAATTATATATAACAGGAAAAGCTCCTTAAATTTCATTCCTAACAAGTTCGCTGCAGACAGATTGCTCATTCAAGTCATGACAGATGAGATGATATTGTAGAGCTAAAGGTTTTGGTGGTTAGAGAGTTTGCCCACACTATAACGGAAAAATCATTTGTGCCACTTGAAAAAACATCAGAGAGAAACAATCTCAACCCAGAAAAAAAAAAAAAAGGGAGAAATAAGTTTAAGAGAAGAGGACATTCCACTCAAGTCATGTATTTTTCTTGGATCAACGCCGAATGGGAAAACCATCTAATGCGGGGTACCCAAATGGTAGAATATCCTATTTATCTACACTCGAAGACTCGCACTTCTCACCATGTGGGGATTGAACCGTATCATCAGTGAGGGTGGAGCCTAGCCAGACGGCATCCATTTCCATAGCACTTTAATACAAAATCACGCAAGCATCACCGTTCGTTTTGAGAAACATAAAATTCCACTTAAGTCATGAATGAAACCATTTAGGAAACACAAAATTGCTAGAGGACCCCCCCCCCCCAATGAAAATGGGAAAAAGTCACCATTTTCAGGCCTATCCAAGCAACCAATAGACAAAATTCCACCAATTGACACAGGAAAATGACAAAGGGAGCTTTTCCAATGAAATAAGAGTTCTGAGAGCAGAGAGATAAGAACAATCTCATTGAGAAAGGCCTAGTGCCTGACACATATTCTTTGCAAAGGCACAAAACTTGAGTATTTACTAACTGTTTAGAATTGTAATATATGGAAGAGCTTTCTGGAAAAGCCGTGTTGATGACTGCTAGAAATGCTTCCAAGGTGTTATACTTTTATTAGGACATCTGTCATCTGAAAATAAACAGCTCAAGAACTTTACAGAATTTTTCTCTATTACTTTCCTTGCAGATGAACAATGACTACTTTCCAATGTTAACCTTACTTATGATGTTATTGTTATCTGTAGGGAAGGAAGTGTTTGATAGTTACCTCAAAAAAGAGTTGTGGGCAATCATGGCCACCTTACAAAAAGATCAGAAAAATGGAAACAGAAGTTGGAGGTTTATAATAATTAGGGTTGCCCCAGTGCCCCACATAACATAAAGATTCCTACTAGATTTGAAACAGAAACTTATAAGGGAAATTGAGTTCTTTCAGAATAGTTGGCCATTAAAGGATCCACTGAGACATAAGTTATCAATGTGTTGGTGGCAATGATGACACACTGACCATGATATGTCCAGGGGACCATTCCAATAGCATAACAGGTGGTCCACGTTTAATATATTAAAACCATGAAAATAAAATAGCCTAACTTCGGGTCTCTTCCATCAAAGTGAACTTTAATGTCACTTCTTCCCTTTATGTCCTCCATAATAAAAAAGATTATAGTGCTTAATACGCATGTATGAAATTTCAACCTTCACTGAATTCCTTTCTTTCTCATCACCATAAAGGCAGAAATATTCTGCTTTTGCACAAAGTATACCCAGTTGCTTCTAAAAAGTATATTATAATTGTTTGTGATACGCTGGATAATCATAGACACGATATGGTTCTATTTTGAAGGTGGAAAAGAACTTCAATTAAAGAATGATCATAACAATCATCTAACAGGGAAATGAGATAAATTTACCGCTATTATGACATCGGCAGTAATGAGTATTCCCATCACATGATTCTAAGTGACCAACAACACCATACCACCAGCCTGCAAGAAAGGTATATTTCGTCATGGTTAAATTAATTTAAGGCCAATGATATAATTCCATTTCTGCAAAATATATACCACAATATGTTTTTTATAAGAAGCAAATCAGCTGTGCAAAAACAACTTTTCAAATGAAACGATACACTTTTCCTTTTTAATTTTTGTGTGTTTGACCCACACTAATAATGCTGTTAAAAGCGTTTGGATAACTGAACCAGACCCTAAATTAATTTATTTGTTAAGTAAGATATATGAAAAGAATAATAGCACTGCCAAACAGGCCCCTCAAACAAAGGTACAAGAAAGTTATGCTCTGAAAATCTGACACAAGGCTGTTTCTATATTATCAAAATCTAAAACGATGAATAAACGGAAGTGCAAGTATCATTTTGACCCTGTATATAAATCAACGAGAAGAAATGCATGAGCTTCCTAGCTAACAATCTAAAACCATTTCTCGCTTCCCCCTAGAAGATCAAAATGCTTAAATAATATTGAATGTAGAAATCAATTTTGTTCTAGGCTAAATATTAGATACAACCACCCCCTTTCCCTTTCTTTTTACATTTCCAGAAGATAAAAACTAATTGACTACGGTCCCGCATTCTGTATCCCTTCTCTTTTTGTATTTTCCGGCGGCGATAATGTTTATTTGATATGGTTAAATTGTTCGCAGCTTTTACCAACCAAAGTAATTAACAGGAGAAATAGAAGACCAAGATCGAGAGAGGAACAAACCATAAGGGAATTCTTTGTTTCTCCTCCACTGAATCTCTATGTGATCACCAGGACGCAGATCGTTCAAACAGTCAGAAATATGAAGATCATGAGGGAGAGTGTCAGTTGGTGGAGCTCTTAGCCTTTGCCATGCGATGCCATTCTCTATTGCAATTGCCCTTCTTCCATGTGGCGGATACCTGTAAGACAATATCAATAATTAAATTACCCCACCAGATCCAAATTCATGTTTTCAGCAAGCTTATCACACACATCAGTGTATACTATGAAACTAGTAAATGTATGATCACCGAAGAAAAAAATGTCTAATTACCTGGCTTGGAAGGTGTCCGTGTGCCGATCATAGCTCAGCTCAGCATCATAGCAAGATAACACGAATCCAACATGACCATTCTACACCACCAACATCACAAATGTAACTCGTGAGAAAACAGAATCCTCTAAATTGAGTAAGAATCCAAGAAACTTTCTCTTTCATTTTTGTGGGCATAATGGGTAAGTTATATATTGTTAACAGAAAATTCACTAATGTAAATTGAGAGCAAACAAAATCTTCTGAGTACAGTTAAAATCCAAGAAATTTCTTTATATGTTTGTGGGTACCATCGTAAATACAAATTTTTAACAGAAAAATAATAAAAGAGCACAAACGTAACGTGTGAGAAAACAAATCCTCATAATCCAATTAAATTCCAAGAAGCTTTCTCTGTATTTTCTCAGGTCTCACAGAAGATTTAAACTTTTTAACAGAAAAGCCACAGAGAGACTCGCCCTACACATACCTCACGATTATAAACCTGAGCAGGGAACCAGAAATTGCCAGACTCGAGAGCAAGATACCAAGTCATGACAGAATCAACTGGCAAGGAACTTGGCTGGTCGCTGCCATTATTATTATTATTTGCATCACCCTTCAATCTCATCCATGAAAAAGACCAATTCAGAGATAGAAACCTCCTCAATCCCCTATGCTTTCCCTGTTTTAGACTGCCCATGTCTTGTTTTGAAGCAACATGCCATTGCCACTCCCTATAAGCAGCTTTACCAATAATCCTACCCCATTTCTGCTTCATGTGCCTCTCCCAGAAGTAATCACTGATACTTCTCTCCCTCAAGGAACGGCACACACCTGCCATTTGACAAAGAGCTGAAGGAGGTAGCCTCTCAAGAATGCATTCTAAGACCAGCTCTGGCAAGTCCAAAAGTGAGGAATCCTGGGAATCCTCCACATTCTCTACTCTTGAAGTGAATGCCATCTTCTTCATTAGGGACATTCTTGAAGGAATTTGAGAAGGAAAACCCAGAAACAGACGATAGGCGATCAACTTAGAGATTGATTTTACAGACAGTAACTGTTTGCAAAACACAAGGGATATCAATCTCAAATTACTTGTCCAAAGTTGTTGACGTTTGAGGGAAAGAGACTTCAGGAACAAGAAGAAGGTGATTGAAGTGACGAAGAAAAGTAGCATTAGGAAAGAGGAAATCTCTTGCGGGTCAAATTTGAGTTTGGCATAGGCGATAATAATAGAAGCAGCTTAGGGGGAAGGAAAAGCGATGGCTAAGAGGAGTTAAGAGGAAACCCCAATGGCGTCGGTCACCGTTTGAGATTGAGGCCCCCCCCTTTAGAGAAAAAATGAAGCAATATTTTCTATTGGTTGAACGAGAGCCCACCAAAACCCAATGGTGGGCCTCTCTACAATATATTATCAGACCGAAAAAAATAAAGTTTTGGCAGAATTTCACAGCAACGAAATGCTATGGAAATTTCGTTGAACCACTATTTTTGTGCGTAACAAGAAAAACCGTACAGACACCTTCAACAGCTGTCATTCATATGTAGAAATGAGTCCTCAAAAAGGAAGAGAAGGTGAACCAAGTAGGAAGCTAATGGGGGTGGGGTCGCAGGATCTGTTGTCAGGTTTTCTGACACCTGTAAAATGGAAATGGCATGAGATGGATGAAGATAAGTCTAGATACAAAGACCCATATCTATAAAATCTCTGAATCTATAGGTTAATGGAATCAATTATTTTTAAGAACAGTATGGGTAAAATAAAACAGATCTGGGTATCTTAGAATTGAAGGCACTATTATCAGGTGCAATCCAAAACAAGCTTTACAATTAAAAAAATGGGAAATTGAATGAATTATCCAAAGGACAAAATTTCAGGAGGTTCAGTGCATATACAGAAAAAGATAAAAGAGATTTGATGAAGAAGATGATGAATGTGAAGAGGTGGGTCCTCCTCCCCTCCACTCCAACAGATTCTTCACCGCCCCTCAATAATCCCTTCGATATTCACAGAACTCCCCTTATTGCTTCGTCATCTCCTCCTCCTGTTTGTTCTCTCTGGGGCAATATAACGAACAGTTTGTGGTCAAACAAACGAGAAACAACGGTAAATTGTGCAACAGATGGCCGGCTAACATTAAACAAGAATTTTTGTGGATTTCAGAAATAACCAAAAAATTGGAGACCAAATAATCAAATATATAACCCCCCCAAAAAAAAAAAAGAATCTCTCTCTAGATCCGTGCCATACTCGCTCTCTCTTTCTCTCTCTAACAAGTTGGGAGGGAAAGCCGTCTACCCAGAAAAGGTAACTAACCAGGGCGGATAATGGATAAAGCAGCCGTTGACGATATCAATGAAGCTCGGAGTTACGGGTTATGATCTCTTGCAGATGGGTCCGCAGTAACAGGAAAATAAATCCAATTAATTTAGGACACGTGGCTTTTCGAAAGTGGATATTGTTCTAAACGACCCTTATGCTTTATGAGAAACTCTGGCCTACCATTATGTTTCCAGTAAATGAATAATTTCATCCGGATAGTTTACGCTAATTTTCAAGTTCAATCTCAAAATTTTTGCAATTTTCATCTCACTAGTTAAATTTTTTTCCCCAAAACTAAAGTCTTTTACAAATACTAAGTTATTAAAGATTTGATTAGTTCTGATGGCAAAAAAAAAAAGAAGATTTGATTAGTTCCATTTATAAGGGATCAGAAAATAAAAAAAATCTTGTGTCCTAATCAAAAGACCTGTCATAACCTTTTACATCACTCTCCTTTTATTCCACATTGAATGTTAGTATATGCTATTTAAGGCTTGTTTAAATTAGCAGTGAAAAAATTAATTTATTTTTAATTTGATTGTTAAAAAAGTTAATCAGATAAAAATTAAATTGAGTAATATGATTTATGTTTAGATTGACTTTTATAAATAAATTATTTTGTAAAAGTAAATTGTTTAGACTATAATAAAATAAGTAATTTTAGCTTGTAAAATTAATAAATTATAAAAATGGGTATGACTTATTAAATAATAAAAAATAAAAAAGTATCAATTTACATAGTATAATCATTTTAAATTATTTATAAGCTCTTGCTGATTTTATTTATAAGCTCCAAATTTGGGAGGAGGTGTCATCTATTTTATTAATTTCAATTTGGATTAATAAGTTTCTGTTGATCTCATAGAGTCTCTTTTATCTTTTTTATCATTTATGATAAGGATATATTTAAAAATAAAAGTAGTTTTCTAATTTATTTATTATCTTCAACAAATTTTAAGTGATTTTTTATTATCTTCAAATTAGTTATTTGAAATTTATAATAACAACTAGATAAAATTAAAAAAAATTTAACTTTTTTACCTTTCATATTTCAAAAGCCAAAAACCATAAGCCGTAAGCAACTGATTTTTACTTATAGCTTATTATATTTTTTTTATATCAATGTCAGGTTGCTCCACCGCCAACTCAAACACCATAATTTTATGGATTGCATGTTTTGTCACCAATCACATATTTATAATGTCTAGACGCTGTCACAAAGAGGCCCTTGGTAATTTTTAAAGTAGGAATATTTAACAAGGGCAAAATTAAAAACTTATTAAATTTATATATAGAGAAATTTTTTCTTTAATTTTGACCAAACATACTGGAAATCACTTATAATAAGAAATTTGTCCTTAATCGCAATAATTTTTCAGAGTGTATCTTTTTTTTTTTTGGCCATCGCAGTAATGTTTCAGAATTGCTTCTAACAAATGGTTTACTTTCTAGCATGATTTTAACCATACATTTAAAACATCCTTTTCAATGATTAATGATGAATGGTATTTAACGAATATTCATGTAGAAAACGAGTTTGAAGAGTTGTGCTTGGTTGGTTTGATCTTATTTTATAGTTTTACATTGTGTGTCCTAATTTGACCATTGAGATAGAGCTTTCATTATCATTATTTGATCCTTTGTTTGATTGAATTTTGTCATATGTTCATTATATTATTCTTTGATGGCATAATTTGTCTGTAATCATATATGTAATTTAGTGACTTGATCTCCCTGGATTTCTTTCTTAGTTTTATTGATTCAAGATATAAGTAATTTTTTAATTTTTTAAATCATTAATTTCATTTTCCCTTAAATACTCGTCATTAACATTGTTCAACAAAAAAATGAAACAATTTCCTTAATCAGTATTTGTAGTTAGTAACTGTAATACAGTAGTAACACTCTTCTAATTTTTAATATAGGACTTAATTGGGAAATTAATATTGGTTTTATATGTAAAACCTATTTTACATATTTATTAATCTTTTTTCAAATTAATTGTATTGATATCACCTCAAAACAATCAAGTAGAGAAGAAGAGAGGAAATTAAGAAAGATGTTTAAGTCCGTTTAATATGAAGCATTGAAAATGAGGATAAGAATTAGGATTGGGATGACAAAATCTATTAAAAAAGTGTTTAGCATGAGAGATTGATGTTACATGGAATTGAAGACAAACCTATGTATGGGATTGGAAAATACCATAAGAGGAGATAGTACCCCCAATCTCACCGCTATATGTTTGTCTAATCCCATATACTCCTCCGGTCCTTAATATAAGACTCAATTGTTGAGTTGTTTTGGTCCTAAATATAAGACCATTTTTCATATTTATCAATTTTCTCTAAATTACCCTATAGATATTCCCTAAACCATAATCAATAGAAGAGGAGAAAGGTATTAAGAAAGATGATCATGGTGTTTTAGGAAAAACATATCACATTTCTTATAATTAACTAACTTACCTAACTTCCTTAATCTAATCAAATTAGTCAAATGTGTCTTATATTAAGGACCGAAGGAGTAATATACAATTACTCATACTAAATACTTTTTAATGACTTTTCTTGATTGCAATCATAGTCCCTATTCCTCATTTTCAATACCTCGTACCAAATAGGACCTAAGGGTGTTTTAAAAAAAATATCATATTAACTAATTTAGCTAAGATCATTAATCTACTCAAATTAGTTAATTAGTTTTTATATTAATAACCGAAAGGAAAACTAATAATGGAGGAGGAATGGGTGGGGTTGTGGGAATATGAATGGTGAGTATATTGTGAATTACTACCTCCGATCCTATTTATAAGAACTAATTGACTAATTTAAAGAGATTAAGAAAATAAGTTAAGTTAGTTATTTGTAATAAATAAATGCTTTTTTCTAAAATATCCTTACTAATCAAGTGTATTGGTTTTTTAAAACTGTTATTATTAGAAGATTATCTTGAAAAATATATATAAATATAAAAGATAAAATGGATTGGGATCTTATATTTAGAACCAAAATAAAAATCAAATAAGATTTTATATTAAAGACCAAAACAGTATTTAAGGGATAGGGTGGTCCATCCCTTACACAAAGTATCGCGCAAGAAGCAACCAGAATGGACCGCTTCCTCCGCTTGTTCGTCCCTCTCTCCCTCATGCATATACACATATATTAACCCGGTCCTTATTACAGGGGATTTTTGACTAACCCACGTGAACTAAAGAATGATAATTAGAGTACCTTGTAAAGTCTATAAAATTTTTTGGCTTTATCTTGATTAATACTACCTCCGGTTCTTAATATAAGATTCTGTTTGATTTTTATTTTAATCCTAAATATAAAATCTCAATCTACTTTGTCTATTATATTAATATATTTTTTTTCAAAGTAACCCTTCTAATAATAAGAGTTCTAGTCAATACACTTGATTAGCAAGAATACTTTAAGAAAGACAACACTTATTTAGGACAAATAACTAACTCAACTTACTTTCTTAATCTCCTTAAATTAGTCAATTGGTTCTTATAATTAGGATCGGAGGTAGTAGGTTTTAAAGGGGAGTAAAAAAAAAGCCAATAGTTGCATTTAAATACTAATTATAAGAATAAGTTTGACAAGTAAGTATAAGCCACCTTTTAAATTTAGACTAGGAAATTTTTTACTAGGAGTTGTCTTATAAGACGAATGGGAAGGGGTGCATGCATATTCGCCCTCCCCTCTCTCTCTCTCTGGAGTGAATTGCTTCTTTAAGACTAAATCTAAATCATAAGTATATAGTACTCCCTTTGTCTTTAATACAGGATTTAATTGTTAAGTTAATTTTGATTTTAAATATAAGACTTATTTCTCATATTTATCAATTTTGTCTAAATTACTCTTATGAATACTCTCTCAACTATAATCAAGTAGAAGAGGGAGGGAAGATATTAGAAAGATGATTATTGTGTTTTAAGAAAAACATGTCATATTTCTTATAATTAACTAATTTACC